AGAAGCAGATTTTCACCGAGGCAGAGATAGTCGCTCAAGCGCAGGGCATCGCTCCTAAAGACGCGCTGGTCGAAATTGAGAATGATGTGGAGCCGACAAACGTCGCATCGCCCGATGTCCAGGAGAAGACTGTTGAGCAGAATTTCAACGAGTCCGCAGGCGAGAGTGGTGCAGAGGCGACGGAACACCAGAAAGCAACCACTGAGGAGCCAAGAGCGAGTGAGACAGCGCGCGATTCTGATGAACGAGGGGAAACCGAGGAGAAGGTGGCTACTGGAGGCGAACCAGATACCGTCGATGAAGGTCAGACAGCCGGGTTCACGGTCTCGAAAGACAAGGCGAACGACGATCTCGGGGAGACGATTCCGCCTGCAGATGAGGTCTCTGCGTCGACTACCCACCAAGACGATTCTCAGCCTACGACAGAGGGGGCTTCGTATGCAGACGCAGTGAAGGCCTCGGCAGCGACAGACGATGTCGATGCAGCACCGGTCGAGGCAGCGGAAACTTCCGTTACTTCTACACCAGCCAAAAGCGAAGCTCAAACTCCAAATACGACTCCTGACAAGACGTCTGTGGCGTTCCCAGTGCACCCATCGGTCTCGCGCATGTCGACTTCGCAATCGCAACGTTCTGGCCTATCGTCTCGATCGCAATCAGCATCCGATATCAATGAGGCGGAAAGCCCCGAGGTCAACAAGGTAGTTGGAAAAGAAAAGGACAAGCGAAACAAACGTTTAAGCTCGCTCAAGGGTCTTGTGCGCCGTATCTCTGATCAAAGCTCTCGATCGCCCAGCTCAGGAATCAAACCAGGAAGTAGTAGTCCAATGGCAGATGTTGATCAAGCGACGGCGGCGTCAGTGGCCAAAGGTGTTAGTGGGACCAACACACCACCACCAGTGGTGGAAGAAGCTAAGCGTAAGAAACGCCTTTCAATGCAGAAAGGAAAGTAATTGGATTTCGAGTCAAAAAGTAATCATTGAAAAAACAAAAAAGTAAATCTCATTGGCACAATCGAGAGACAGACAGAGAGTAATATTTTACTATACGATACGAACTTTTATTTATTTTTCCCCGCGATATTGCAGTTAGGCATTACTCCTCGTAGATAGTTGCGTTGAAAAAGTATAACTGCAACAAGAGGACATTTTGTACACTGGTATTTATTCATTATGCTTGAGATTTTGTACGTATGCATTCCATCCTGTTTACTTTTCTGTGATTTGGGGGTTCGAATGGAGGTTTTAATTTCAATGCAATGCATATGCTGATCATGACTTTTGTGTCTTTTGTCTTTCTTGTGTTTTGTGCCTGTGTTGGTGTTTGTAATCTACTCGTCTGAATGGTTTCACATCTTCATGTCCGCCTACCTAACCTTGTCATTTAAATGCTCTCACACCTGAAAGTCCGCCTAACCTTCCAACTTGTGATTCTAAGTCCTCCACAGACCGCTACTAGGATCATCAAATCCACCACCAACAGCGTACATCCGGCCAACATGAATCTCGGAGCAAAGACTTTCCAGACCATGAGATGCCTTCTTAGCCAAGCCGCACATATAGCTGAAGCGAATGTGACGGTAGTGTGATATGTGATGAAAGCTATTGAGAGTTGAAGGGAATGTGCTATGATTGGGATATTGCCGGATGGGATTGGAGACACATTCCAGATTGCTAAAAGAGGGATCGCCAAGGCTGATAGAGCGAATGGTCCCCATGTATTGATTATCACTAGAAGAGGCGAGAAGGGGTAGGTGACAGATTCAAAACCTACAAAAGCAGCTTTCCATTGAATCGAAGTTAAAACTGCTTGGTGGCCTGTCGCGAAGAAACCTATGAAGCCTAGTAAAGCCAGAGGCACCGCGTCAGTGAATGATGGGCGGGCGATAGTGTTTGTTGTTGAACCTGGTTCGAAAGCCCCTGGTTGGGACGACGTAGCGAATGAATGTCGCATGATGATGGCATCTCGACGTGTATCGATCAGTTCGAGGAATATAAGGATGGCGAGTAAGATTGCCGAGGTAGTTATTTGGCCCATGGGTTGCATCACTAGATGGATGAGACCAAATGGTATGAGGAAGAAGAGGAGGTAAGTCGATCCGAACGCATTGGCGAATCCGAGAACAGTGACGGCTTTATCATCTCCCGTCTGGTCAGGATCTCGAATGACCTGGATACACAGTCCGCTAGTCAAGAACGTGTAAGGAAGAGCGACAAGCGTCCAGGTAAATGAGATACGAGCGATCCATAATTTCGAGAGCTTGAGTAGAGCTGCAAGAGGTGGTTGTGTCTTATCCCACGTCTCGAGGTATTCGAAGATCCAGTATAATGCATTCGCAGTGAGGACGAAACGCCATGCGATACCCAGGAAATACCGAGCAGGTCCTCCTAGGGATTTAGACCGGTTCAGTAACAGGCCGATCGCCCTGGGAAGCTGTAACCCAAGAATGATGATCGCGGCCAATGCCCAGTTTGGCGCTGCCGGTGTCGAGCCAGTGTAGAAGGTCACTCGGCAGAATGGTTGTTGTTCTTCTCGACAGATCGTTACCGTCCCAACAAGCCTGATGAGTATCGCATAGACTAGGGACAGTCCAATGATACGTAACCGCATGTCCGCTGTAGGAGCAAGGAGAGCTTTAAGGAGGTAGATCAAGACGATTGTTACTGAGAGGTAGACGACCACACGGTCTTCCCACATGATGAAAGAGTTTGATCCGAAAGATACAGCGTGTGCTACTAACATCATTGGGCCGATAGCGCGCTCGATCTGCCAGGTTTTGAACGATGGTCGACGGAGCTTCACCAACAGAGGGGCCACGAGGATGATTTCCGAAACCAGGATAGTCCCAACGATGCCGGTTTGGATGGCTTGGAGAAGACTACGTTTGTAGATACCATATAGCGTACCAGAAATAATTCCGACTGGTACAGCTGCGACGAAGGCCGTCTCGAGAGCCAACGAAGCGTACGTGTTCCAACTAGGTCCACTATTCCGAATGCCGCGATAGAGGCCGATGAGCATCGGTATGCTGAGTCCAAGCAAGAGGCTGCCGAGGAGAATTAAGGGAACGGAGAACTGTGCCCAAAGAGCACGAAGCTGAGCGAGGGCGTCCAAGGAGAATTGGCGATGAATTGCGACGGAATGTATCAAGGAGGCCTCAAGCTTGACCTTCTCAGCGTTGTCCGATGTAGAACCCGTCTTGAGCCATTCGGATAAGCCTCCCTTTATTGAGGGTATAGAGTCCGCAACCTTTTCCGTCAACCTCGTGGCTGCTTTGGCCTTGGTCCAGATCCCTGCGAGTTCAGATTTGACGCCCTTCTCCCCGTATTCCTCGATGTATCGCATGATCTGCTCAGAATTCACCCTAGTTGCCTCTTCGAGACGGCTGAGATTGGCTGCAAAGCACTCGGGAATAATGGTGCCGAGGTTGTTGAATGGGATGGGGACGCCTAATAGGAGTGCGAGTGTAGGAACGAGGTCGATCTGGTTGACATGTCGGAGTGGGGTGGTTGAGCCAGGAAAAGTATATGTTGGCCAAGAATTGACAAGCCGTGGATTATCGACACCGCCGATGAGCGGCACGCCTTTCGAGTAGAGCCACAAGGCAGCAGCAGTCTCCATGTCAGAGTCACCACCGTGATTCCCTTTGCTGTCCATTCCATGATCGCCCAGCAGAACCAGCAGAGTTTCGTCATCCATCAATTCGACGACGTCCCGCACCACTTGATTCATCTGCTCCAGCTTGGTCCGCATCGTATCTCTCTCCGGTCCAACCCGGTGTCCCACATGATCGACGCCCAAAAAATGCCCAATCAAAACGTCCCACCGAGACGCATTCTCCGGGTGTAAGTAGGGCAGGATATTGTCGATGACGCCGTTGTCCACTGTATGAAGATCCTCGACGTTGAACGAGTCGAATGGATGTGAAAAGGTGAACGAGTCTGGAAACAGGTTGACCCAAGTGTCATCTCCCATGAATCCGACCTTCTTCCCTGCCGCAACAAGTTGGGAGATGATCGAGTCTTCCTCTATAGCTGTCGAAGCAAAGTTTGAGCCTGCATCTACAAAGGTCGGCAGAGAGCCAGTTGTGAATCCCTTGATTCGCTGCATGGTCGTTGTTGGGGGATCCGAATAGCCGTTGAGGATGATGGAATGGCCTGGATGCGATGCAGTGAGTTCTGCTGGGAGAGTGAGAACGCCATGGTGGTTAGGCGAGGGAGGGACAGGATGATGTGGGGAGATAAAGTCGGTGCGCAAAGCGTCGATGACGAGGATAATGGCTTTCGAATGTGTAGCAGGAAGTGGAGCAGGTGAATCGATAGTATATGGGGAAGAGGTGATAGGGATGGTGACTCGCGTGAGAAGGAAGCCTTTTGTGAAGATGTACAGCCCGACGAAATGGACGACAAAGATGTAGCCGAGAACGAGAGCAGCGAGGTTGGCCCGAGACACACCCCCAAGGAGTGACGCTCGTACAACGGTAGGCTCCTGTTCGGACAGGTCAATCGTCTTTGGGTTTGCGGCTCGAGATTTGGCTGTCGACATGATGTCTGCTCAAATCAGCATTTCTCCATTCCCGGACGTGCACTTCATCGACTTACGAGTACAATTGGCAGCAAGTGTGAGAACGAAGGGATAATCACACGCTTAGCGTTTTAAGGACATGGTGAGTGACACTGGCGTCTCGCTATCCACTGTGTAACTGCAAGTTTTGGGCAATGTTAACACAGCGACATGAGTAGAAAAAGCCGTTCCTGAGCCGACTATGGGCCGGTATTATTACGAGGAGGTTCGAATAATGTGCAGTCGGCTCTCAACGATGTCGCCAGTCCTTCAGGCCTGGCTGAGGAGCGGGATATGTTCAGCATATGTCCTCCCTGTCTCCCATAACAGGTGGTGTGGCCTAGAAGTACGATTTGAAGACAGTCGGACACATTTGGGGTCTGTATACGCGTGCTCGCGACCACTGAGGCCAAAATTCAATGTCGCCAAAAAAGATGGGGTCGAGCTGGGAATCGAACCCAGGACCTTGATCATGTAGAGAAACACCCTAAGATCAAATCATACCTCTAGACCACGCGACCACTTATTTGTGGTGGACTGCATCGTATCATAATATATACTGGTAACAAACGGTAACATCACTCAGCAACCGAGCTCTTGTGTCTTTTGGCCACATTTGGGATCTGACCTTTGGCCACCTGTATCTGTGCAGGAGGTGCCAATGAATCGGTATCTGAATCGAGAGATAGATTTACATATGGTATTTATAGGATTGTAGTGCTACCAGTGATACTACCACATACGACAACAAAAGCTTACAACTTGAGCCTACTTGACTCTTGCCGACATGCTCGATTCTACCTCTCGTACAATTGTCAACACATCTTCGCTGTACTCTGCGTTTGCAAAGTCCCCAAATTCATCATAACTAGACGGCGGCAGTGTGAGTTGCGATGACGCCTTGATCTCTGTTGTAGGCGAGTTGGCGGTGGAGACTCTTACGGGAAATGCGAATTGAGTTTCGTCGATATTGGCCAGAAACATCTCCTGAGATGCGGAGATGTCCAGCGAAAGAGATGGGCTGGCAGTTCGCTTCCGAGGTGTAGGTGTGGGAGTAGGTGTCTGCTCGTCGTCTGATATGACTACTATTTCAGCCGTGGCCCCTTTCTCCAGAGCTTCCAATACGGGTTGATCTCGTAACAGCCCAACAAGCGCATCCATGACGATATTCGCCTCATCGCTGTCGTCGCGAAACTTGTATCGCCCGTACTCGACGCTTTCACGTCGTACTCTTTCGGCCTCAATAAGCTCTTCAGTGGTAGGACGACCAGAGTACTTGTCTTGGTGGATAAGATATGTTGCTGCTTCGGGTACAAGGACGTGCTCAATCAGGTCTCTATCGTCGAGTCGTGACACAGCTTCAAGGCGAGTAGAATGACCAAGGCTGCAGCGCTGCTGGAAGTAGACATTGAGGATGTATTTGCCAAGAGACCCGTAGCTGCACACTGTCAGCATTGGTTCCCATGATCGACGAATATGGCTTACTAGCCAGGCATCGCTCGATCACGAACTCCGCGAGAGCCTTGATGGGCCACACTCCTCCACTGATCCCGACCAACAGCTACCATCTCTTTCTGCAGCTCTGCATATCGACTCGAGGTCGTTGGGTCTCGTAGAAGACTATCGATCTCTGCTTTGATCCATCCATCTCCGAGTCGTCCAGGAAGCTCGAGAAAGTCGATTCCTTTGGGATATCCAGACCGTATGCCCATAGGAATGGTCTTGGTCTCGGCCTCGTGCAGTGCGCAAAGTTCCTGAGAGATCATCCAACCCACTTTGCGCGCCCACGGATGTCCTGGTACAGGAGTTGAGACGAGCAGAATCTGCGCCGCGAGCTTCTCGAGGTGAGCGCTGGGAAGCCTAGGCCAAAATTCACCGCAGTACTGGTCATCGTCAGCTAGCCTCGTTTGTCGCATTCCATACGCACCGGGCACCGATCATCCTTATCTACAAATTCGCCTGATGACATTAGCTGCGCCAACAAGCCAAGTCATAAATAACGTACGTAAATATTCCTCGTCCTCACTGGTCAGCTTGTGCTCTTCCTCTGCCGCCTCGATTTGTACTTCCTGACTGCAAAACTTCAGCTAAGCCCTAACGGTGTGTTGACAAAACTCACCTAGAGAGCTCCACGACCTGTATCGCATCATCAAATCCCTTGACTGCCTGACGATCTCTCCTCTCCACCTCCGTCAACTCGTCGAAAAAGGCGTGCGCATCTGCGTTTTTCCTTGACACTGCCTCGTGCTTTTCGAGCTGCTCGGTCGCCGCTTTCTCCTTAAGAGCTGTCTCGAAGAAAGCTGCTGCTCCATCTGGCTTGTCATTCGTCTCATCCGTCTCCTTGGATGGAACGCTCTTCGTCTTTATAGTCTTCTTCCGCCTGACAGCAGGTATAGACTCGTCATCTGAATCTGGGATGATAGTCTTGCTTGGCTTCTTCCTCGGATTATCGACTGGTACGGCGCTGCGTGTCTTTGTTGTGACCGAATCAAGAGCATTTGGCTTGCCTTTAGGTGCTGCCTTCGCTCTTGATGGAATTTCCGAGAGAGAAGTCTGCGAGTCTGAATGTCGAAGCGCCTGGCCAGATTTCTTGGTAGGGGAGACAGTTTCCTTCTTTGATTGTCGACCATCGCTCCGTTTACGTGGCTGCGACTGGCGGGCACTAGTGGATGGACCAGGCTCATCATCCGGATACTTACTCTTCAAGGTCGACGTGTTCTCTGACTGGCCATTCACCTTCGATCTCTTCGATCCGTCCTCATCCTGCGTCTTACTCGTAACATAATCCTTCTTCTCTTTCTTCTTCACTCGCCCTTCTTCCTTCACTGCAGCTTGTACGGAAGCGCCCGTCTTCTCGGAGAACTTAGATGTGGTATTGTTGACTTTCTTCTTAAGGGTTGAAGGCTCGACAAGCTCTGGTTCAGAGAGCTGAGAGCTGGGCAGAGAAGATAGTTGAGAAGAGCTCTTGACTACTTTTCTCTTGCCGCGACTGACAGTCACGCTGGATGGGGCCGAACTAGGTGTTGGTCCAAAGATATCAACAATCTCCATGGCAGAGGCATTGAGTGGTGATAAAGCAGGTGATGAAAGAAAGTAGCAACGATGGTATAGAAGAGAAAGGAGGCCAAGTTACGTTTGTACGCGTCAGTTCTATGCGGATTCAAAAAAAAAAGCAGCCACGATCTTATCTGTGCATAAGGTAAAGATGTGCAGGGTATCTACAAGATATACAGACATACAGAATAGATTTTGACAGATCTTCCACACGCTCATCTTTTCTTCACGATGTATTGATGATCCACTTTGTGATTGGGCCCATCAACAGATTTCCGGGCGTCCAACCTCCCGGCACCTCCACAGGCGTCAGCCTCGCCGCTGCCAAACCAGAATCGAACCAACTCCCACAGGCCAGTCGGGCCGTGACAAGCATATACGTCCAGACCCAGACTTTTCCTGACCAGCCACCGACACGTTTCCCCGAGACCTTCTTGAAAGCGACTTCGAGTGCACAGCCTACGCCTGACGCGAGGAAGAAGGCGAGTAGAGGAAGAATAGAAGGGACGGGGTCCATCGTTATTTGACCTAAAGCGTGCAGTGCGCCTGAAAGGAAGAAGATCAGAGGTAAGAGGAAAGGCGAGTTTGGAGGTTGGCGAAATGCTTTGAGGATCAGGATAGACGTTATGAGGAAAGTGTGCTTCGTAGTGTCAGTGCGTGATGGAGATGGCACAAGACAAACACTGTAGATGGTCTGAAAAGTAGCATTTAGGGAGCATGGGTGGGTGGAGATGGAAAGCGGCACCTGTGGAAGATGCTGAGAATACTGAGAACTTACACGGAAAAGCTGATGCCACCTCCTACCCCACAGATCGAGCAGACTATCTCCCTTCCAAGGGGCGTCCATGAAATCGACCTCCCACGCCTCGACTTCATACACGCCCGAACCAACAGCGACAAGCGCGAAGGAGTGGTAGCCTAATAACAGACCCTGCCAGACTCCGATGGCCAAGCTGAGCAGCATGACAATGAGCACGAGCATTTTCGGTGCAAGGATATTGAGTGTACCGGGGAAGAAGTAGAATGTGTTGGAAGACAGGAATTTTGGGATGGAATTGGGGCATCCGTGTAGGTTGCCTATTGTTTCGCTACCCCATTGCCGGAGAAGGACTAGGAGGGTGTCGAGGACTATGTAGTGAATGACCATGTTACGGAAGTGTCGAAAGATCGCTTGGGGACGGGTACGGTGGACGGTGGGGTACGGCAACCATTTCTCAGCTTTTGTAGGAGATAGACGCTGAGGTACAGATCCATTCGATGTTCGTACACCTCCATCTGCATCTTGAGTGAGTTTGGGTTTTGATTGCTGTTCGAGTCTAGGTTCTGAATCGAGTTTGGCTTCTGATTCGAGTTTGAGTTCTGAATCGAGTCTGGGGTCCTGTTCGAACCTGGGAAGATCGATGTATGTCTGACCTAGTCCGACCATGCGACTATTGATAGCTAGGTCTATCGCAGCTACAATTCGACCTCGTCTACCAGCAGCGAAGTACGGATCGATGATTGGTTTTGAAGTGAAAGAGTATTCAACATATTTGGCTGAAATATGTAGCATGGCTATTCCTAAACCGTTATTGAACGCATTATATTCGGGTTCTGATATCCCATCAGCTTCAGGTTGAAAAGTCAGGCGATTTGGCTAGAATTTTAGGCGATTTGGAATATGATGTATGATGTATGATATGAAGTATGAATTATGGAGCATGAAGTATGAAGGAGGAAGTATGATGTAGTAGTAAAGTATCAAATACACTTACCAACAAACCGATGTAAACCACAACCATGTCCAACGAGATAAAGACCCAAAGCACCGAGGGCAGCACGAAGAAGTCGAGTACCTTGGAATTGAAGCAAGAGCGTCTGGATTCCAAGAGGTATGAAAGGCAAGATGAAGACTGAAGGCCAATTGGATGAAGTGATTGGTTTGGCATGTTGGATGATATACGTGTGGATAAAGTTGAGGAATCCATATGGTTCTTCATATGTAAGTAAGAATGACATCCTATCCTGACTCTTGTTCTCTTTTCTATCTCCTATCTCCTATCTCCTACGGCTGTACAGTCTTCGTCAAAAGTGATAGGAAATGATGCTATTGATGATGGATGTTTACGAAGCATTAGATACAAAGAGAGAACACGCTTTGATGCTCGTCGGTGGCCACGGCCATATGATACGACGACACGACACACCGGCGATCGAAATCTTCTCGGGTGTTTTGGAGTTTTAGATGAGATCTGACGTGTTTCAAAATCGAGCCCTTGATTTCTCATCCCTTATCACTCAGGTATATATATATAGATATGAACCCATCAGTAGTCAAGAGTATACGAGAACGTTCAGGCCACATGAAATCTAACTGAAACAATGCATTCGATGACAGGGATATGTATATCCAGCAAATGTCCCAGTTTCTAAATACTCTACTCTACGGCGGCACATTTGCCTTGTACTCTTTCTTTTCCTTAATTAC